GAAGAAACCTTAACAACTGCGCCACGAGAGTGACACTTAAAAATTGTGATTTTGATTTGAATCAAATGTAATTAAAAATCAGACATAGTTTAACGAGCTACTACAAGAAAAAAAAACAGTTGTGATCATGAGGAACGATCTTTCTCACAGATCGATCATTGAGATTATTATACCATTGTGTCCGTTCATACGCATGTATTCATTAATTTTAACTGTTTTAATTATATAATAAAATCAAATGATACATTTTATAAGGTAATACTGCAATGCAAGTACATACATATTTTTCAAGTTCAGATTTGGTGTTGTACGCGAGACCAACTGAATGCTGATAAACTCATGAAATAAAGGATGTAAAATTAATGTCATTTGAAATTGTGAGATCGAATATCAACAAACTTTAATGCTATTATTTTTTCCCCTTACCAACGTAAAAAATGAGTTGCATGTATCTGATCTGACAAAAATTTTCCAGTCTAACAGATCATTTGACTTGTCAGAGCAAATAAATGTCTGACACTGATATTTTCCATAGTATTTTCTTAAACAAGAGGCCCATGGGCCACATTGCTCACCTGAGCAATTTGCTAGGAAAAAGCACATATCAGATCCGAACTGAAAGTTTACTGAGTTTTTTTTTGGGGGGGTGGCTTGAATTTTAACCTCCTAGGGGGTCATGGTTTGAACAAACATGAATCTACACTACCTGAGGATGAATCCATATAAATATCACTAAGCATGGATTTGAAGTTCTTTATAAGAGGATTTTAAAAGGTTTCCCTGTAAATTCCTATGTAAAATTTTTATCTGCCATTTTGACCCACCCTACCCCCGGGGGTCATGTTTACTTGAATCTACACTACCTGGTGATGATTCCACACGAGTTTCATCTTTCCTGGCCCAGTGGTTCTTGAGAAGAAGATTTTTAAAGATTTTTCCTATATATTAATATGCAAAACTTTGATCGGCCATTTTGGCCCCACCATACCCCGGGGGGTCATGGTTTGAACAAACTTGAATCTACACTACCTGGTGATGATTCCACATGAGTTTCATCTTTCCTGGCCCAGTGGTTCTTGAGAAGAAGATTTTTAAATATTTTTCCTATATATTAATATGTAAAACTGTGATCAGCCATTTTGGCCCCACCCTACCCCCGGGGGTCATGATTTGAACAAACACCTGATTAGCTAAGGTGAGCTAAAAAGTAACTTTGTTCTATCTCTTTATTGCTGAAACAAATTGAAAGAAGTTCGGTTAAACCTTAGCGTTCCTTTGACCTTACATCTTTGTTTACATCTCTATATTTAGACAATCGCGTCATTGTCAAACCAGTTAGACCAGTTGTTTCTCCTTTGATGACCTCGCACTTTTTATAATGGAGCGTAGTAGAGTCAGCCGAGGATTGCCGAATGATAAATGACGGGACTTTTTTTCATACGGAAACAAAATTTACGTGTCATTTCTCAAAAGAGATGACAAAAATATGCTATTTAAATTAAGTTAAGGGGACGAAGGATGTATGGTCACGTGACTCAGTTTAATTACGTCATAATCTCTGATAAAATATGTATAAAACCAGATTGAAACCACAGTATTTGGAAGAAAAAAATGACTGTTTGTTTGAGTTCACCATCTTGTATAAAAATATCTAAAAACATTAAAACTTTCTCGCAAATATTTTCAAATTACGGAATAGATTGATCCACTCTTCTGTTTCCCTACACTGCGCGTCCAACGAGTTGCTGACGTCATAGTGGATCTTAGTACAGTATGATTATATACAAGGTAAAACACGGTTAGTATAATATCATAAAAACGGGTCATGATCAGTACATGGTGGGATATTTTATGAAGCACACAAAAAAATATTTTACATGGTTGTTGACGGAATATATTGTAGTTATGTCTTACTTAGCTTATTTCGCAAATGTGTGACGTCATAATAGGGTTTTCCCGTACTCGAGAAATGTAAACATGATACGTTTTTCTCATGCTCATGTCTTGTTTAACTATGCCCTGTGCAATATTGAGCTCAGCTTCACCAATCGATATTTTTGCAGTTAATCAATAACAAGACGTAATTTTTCAAATATTGAATGATAGGATTTTTTGTAAATTAATTTTTTTGTCGTTTAAGTTGTCTTAAAAAGAACGTAATTTTCCGTCTCCAGATGCGGTGTGACAAAAGAATCTTGCTTTTTCGCATTCTTAACCCTATTCATATTTCTGAAATATTTTAAAAAACACATGTTCGCTGACATAATTTTTATTTATGCTGAAAAAAAATCCATTATGGACCGAGTAATGGGCCCAGAAATACGGAGAATCAAAACTTCACGCAGACACTGTGGGGTTTAGTATTTGTCACTCAATATCTCAGAAATAAGTCTAGAAACCTATTGATATGTCTGCTTTATAGTATGTGGGACATACTAAATAAGAAATATACAAAATATGAAAAAAATTGAATGACAGGTATTTTTTCAGGTAAAGGTCCTTCATCCCCTTAAATAAAATTTTTTTTCATTTACTTTCAAATCTCAAAATCTTACTTTCAACTCCCAAAAATCAGACTTCTTAGATATGGACCGTATACATTCGTGTACGGCGTAGATCTAAATAAGGTTTAAATTAGACTGTGATCGAGATCCCGTGTCACAGTAGGTGCTGGCAGGAAAAAGATCCCTCACTGCTGAATGACCCTTAATGCAGGGTACAGGTCAAAATTTGTAGCAATCCATCGGCAAGTGGTGGCGTCTCCATATGAGTGAAAATTTTTCGAGGGGCGTGAAACAATATACAATCAATCAACCTTTTTGTTGCCATGGCAACACGCGTCTCAATTTCTTTTTTATAAATCATCAATCCTGCCTATCAAAACTATTATCTCCGCACAACAAATCCTCCACAATCCAGGAGTCGGTAACCCAATCCCAACAACTAGACCATATGGTTCAAGCTTCCTTAAAAAAGAAATTCTGAACAAGACACTTTTAGACAATATCCACTAAGTAAATTCAAAGAATTGTGATTCCCCGTCTTCGGTATCTTGGGGATGAAATGTCATTTTTTTTAATGAAATATTGCGTCAAATGATTTTTTTTCTTACAAATAAGGTCATGAAGGTCAAGATGTCAGAAATTATAGCATGCTCGGAAATATTTTGTCACGGGTAATGCACAGGTAAAACATGAAAGCCCTATCTCTTGTAAGTAACAACAGTGTTTGAGAAATACTGATGACCCCGTATGGCAACATAACGAAAATTAAATTTCCTTAAATGCAAATTAAATATAGTGGAATTCAAAGCAGGGTCTTCTCACACGAAATATGATTGTGAAATGAGAAGGTCATAGCACCACCTTTTCAAATATTATGGCCAGGGATAAGTTTTTGAAAGGTAGGTCAAACTTTAAGGTCAAAGATGTTGGTTTCTTAAGAAAGGTCGTCACAAGTATTACACATATTTCAAGTATGAAAACCCTAGCCCTAATCGTTCAAACGTCATTGCCGAGGTTAAAGATTTTAAAAAGTAGGTCAAACTCCAAGGTGAAGGTCAAAGTTCTTGATATCCAATGTAAGGTGTTGTCACAAGGATTAAATTTCTGAAGAATGATAGCCCCAAGGTTTGTTTTTAAAAGTTTGTCAAACTCCTAGGTCTAAGTAAAAGGGTAAAAGTTCTTTAGTATCCAAAAAAGATCTTTTCACCAGGATTACATATTTTTAGTATGAAAGCCCTAACCCTTACAGTTTTTAAGTTATAGCTAAGGATCAAGTTATTTTCATAACTATTAAGTACAGAAATATCCAATGTCAAGTCAAAATTGTTGGAATCCAATGAAAGGTCTTATTACAAAGAATACGACTGTAAAATATTAAAATCCTAGTATCTACCGTTCAAAACGCCGGGTTATTGTTAGGGTTAGGATTACCAGACTTCTCATTTAGATCTACGCCGAAGTAAAAGTTTGAAATATTTGTGTAAAAGTGGGCCAAACTCCAAGATCAAAAGGTGGCACACAAATACAAGTCTTGTCACAAGGAATACAAATGACTGTAAAATTTGAAAGTCATAGCTCCACTAAATCAAAAAATGAGCAAGTTTTTGTGAAAGACATACTTACAGACTGACAGACAGAAGGACGAATGAGATTTAATGTCCCCTCGCTTTTGCGACATACGCTATTGCTTGCAATAGCAGACTCTAGTTTTATTTTGGAATTATTTTTTTTCTAAATAATAAACAATTCTGAAAATATTCAATAAATATATATTTATTAATAAATTAAATGGACATTTAGTGAAAGGTGTGGCTGGTCAATTTGGTCAGCACCCGCTCAACAATCCAAAGGTCCCCGAATCAAACACCCGAAGAGGAAACATTTTTTTATTAATAAATTTATTTTAGGGCCGATGCATACGGCAAGGCTTGCCTTGCGGGATGTACGTCTCTCATTTCCACACGTTAAGGCAAGACTTACGAGATTATAAACAATATATTCCTTGTTTTTTAGCCATAAACAGTTTGCATTTTTAAACGGAATAATATACTGCTAGCTAAGACTGAAATAATTTAACTGACCAGTGCATCCACACTTCTTAACAAAGAAACGAACTGAAGTGTTTTCCGATATTTTAATTATCTTATACGAATATACTTTGTGTTTCCTTCTGCTCCTAATATGCATTGTTTGTTAGGCTTTTGATCTTGAAAACTAATGGAAAGAACAATTATACTTTCTTTCTTCCCTTCGCAGTTCTTATGAAACGTTTACATACGAACACAAGGACATACAAACGAATGCAAGATCTAACTCGCTTGAGCTTTTTCCTCTTGTGCGCTTAACAATAAGCAGATCTTTCTTAAAAATGAAATTAACGAGTCCCCCTCCCTTCCTCACAAAAAGAGTTTTCCTCCTTGTTTAAACCCCCCATCCTCTCTTAAAATCTTTGATTCTGCGCCTGAATTTTTAATATTTTGACTTTATTTTTTAGATTCAAGTCATGAAATGTGTAACTATGAAAAGAATACTTGCCGTTAATGTGATTTGTTGCATTCTTAACTTGCATCTGATACAAGGAAATTTCATAGCAGGGGTTATAAGGGATACATGTTTAGACAATGAACTGCCTACAGCCCTTATAAACTCTGTATCAAATCGTACCATCTACAATGTCTGTATTCCCTCACCACCATTTACCGAAGAATGTACTTCTGTAGGTGAGTACAAACATTTGCTCCTCATTGAACGTATATTAAGAATACGATAAAATCTTAAGGTTCACAAACCGTCTGCTCACTCATTTAAAATGTTGCTTGAACCTTTATGATTTTGAAAAGAAATGTATTTCAATAAGTAAACAAGAGGCCCATGGGCCTTAGAGGTCACCTAAGTATCATGTAACAACTTTTGAACAATTGAATTTGGTTCGTGTTTTAAACCAGAGGCCTTGAAATTCAGAATTTTGAAAGAGGCTACATTGCTTATAAACAATTAGCATGTTTACTCTAGTTACTTAATATCCAGAGGTAGATCAGAGTAATAAAGAGAAAAATCACTTTCACTTTTTAACCAGTTATGGAACCCACCCAATATGAACCACTGACCCTGGGGCCACTTATTTCAAAATTTAGCAAATTTGATCATAAAATGGTTGATTAATACCAAAGAGCAGATTTCAAAGCATTAATTTATTTTCAAACTAATTAATAGAGCCCCGCCCTAACACCAGAACCCCTGATCCTGGAGCCATAAAATTCACAAATCTGGAAGAGGCACTTTTGCTCATCATAACTATGTACTTTGTTAGTTTATTTAATACTCAGGAGCAAAGAAGAAGATTTTGAAAGAATAAATGAATTTTCACTATATCATCAATAGAGCCCCACCCTAACACCAGAACCCCTGACCCTGGGGCCATAAAATTCACAAATCTGGAAGAAGCACTCTTGCTCATCATAACTATGTACTCAGTTAGTTTATTTAATCCCCAGGAGCAAAGAAGATTTTCAAAGAATAAATGCATTTTCACTATATCATCAATATGACCCCCGCCCTAACACCAGAACCCCTGACCCTAGGGCCATAAAATTCACAAATCTGGAAAAGGCACTCTTGCTTATCATAACTATGTACTCAGTTAGTTTATTTAATATCCAGGAGCAAAGAAGAAGATTTTCAAAGAATAAATGCATTTTCACTAAATCATCAATATGACCACCGCCCTAACACCAGAACCCCTGACCCTAGGGCCATAAAATTCCAAATCTGGAAGAAGCACTCTTGCTCATCATAACTATGTACTCAGTTAGTTTATTTAATATCCAGGAGCAAAGAAAAAGATTTTCAAAGAATAAATGAATTTTCACTATATCATCAATAGAGCCCCGCCCTAACACCAGAACCCCTGACCCTAGAGCCATAAAATTCACAAATCTGGAAGAGGCACTCTTGCTCATTATAACTATGTACTTTGTTCGTTTATTTAATACCCAGGAGCAAAGAAGAAAATTTTCAAAGAATAAATGCATTTTCAATATATCATCAATAGAGCCCCGCCCTAACACCAGAACCCCTGACCCTAGGCCATAAAATTCACATATCTGGAAGAGGCACTTTTGCTCATCATAACTATGTACTCAGTTAGTTTATTTAATATCCAGGAGCAAAGAAGAAGATTTTCAAAGAATAAATGAATTTTCACTATATCATCAATAGAGCCCCGCCGTAACACCAGAACCCCTGACCCTAGAGCCATAAAATTCACAAATCTGGAAGAGGCACTCTTGCTCATCATAACTATGTACATTGTTCGTTTATTTAATACCCAGGAGCAGAGAAGAATATTTTCAAAGAATATATCTATTTTCACTATATACTTATTTAGCCCCGCCCTAACACTTGAACCCCTAACCCTAGGGTCATGAATTTCACAATTTTGGTAGAGGAATTAATGCTGATTACAATCATGACAACAGTTTGCCTGCTTGATGTCCAGGAGTAAAGAGGAAGATTCTTAAAGATTGCAATAATTTTAGTGGTTTTGGCCCCACCCCTCAGGCCCCAGGGGGGCGGGGACCATGAAATTCACAAATTCTGTTTCCCTTTACCCATAGATGCTGTATACCAAATTTGGTTGAAATTGGTCCAGTGGTTTCAGAGAAGAAGCTGAAAATGTTCAAATGTTAACACACGACACACGACGGACGACGACGGACGAAAACAACGGATAGCAATAGGCCACCTGAGTTTACTCAGGTGACCTAAAATACAAACGTTTTTAATAAGTAAAAAACAAAGAATGATATACTAGTACAGCATAGCTTGCGGGGCAAAATTGGACAAAAAAGACACTTAAACTTGGCAACTCTATAAAGGAATAATATTCTTTTATGTCATCGAGTGTTATCCCTCTTATCAGAGTATCAATGAACCTTTAGACTTGTGGGTTTATTGTTGAACTTGATTTGATTGTTGCCTACATTTTTGAATCCATACTTTCATCAGAAATTACAGTGAGAGGTTGGAGATGTCCTGGCAATTCTCTCCCGGTTTCTCCCTCCGCTGGGAGAATGCGATGTTGTACCAAAGAAGGTGAGTTGTGCGTTGAAATTAGAACACCTCAAACATCACGCCTGACATTTAAATATTAACAAATATTAGGTAATTGAATAATTTTAAAGATCTGAATTGAATAAATATATGTATTTAAGAATAATTAACTTGAAGTCTATTTTCATTAAATAAATAGGTTTGGAGATTAAGAAGTGCATTGTGGACCCAAACATCATTACCTTTGACAAGGACTTCGTATTAGTTCCTCCCAAAGGGTTTCATCTTAAGGGCCGCATTGGTGTGGGGTAAGATAATATATTAAAATTGGTAAAGATTAAACAGTTCATGACGCCTGAATTAAAGCAGACAAGAATTCTTTACTACACAAAATTTTCATCTATGTACGACTTGTTTATACCAATTAGCCGTATTCCGCCGTATGTCTTTCAGATACATTGTCTTATTGTATACCCCCAATGCGCTCGTATGATTTCTTTTTGGCTTGCCTAACATATAAAACAGTCATACATGTAATATGATATTTTTTGAATAATAATTGAAAATTTTGAAAGAAAGTACAAAATGTGATTTTGTAACACTGACACCCCCGTATGGCAGCTTATGGCAGAGTTGAATTATCTCAATTACATGTCAAACTCTAAAGGCCAAGGTCAAAACTTTCAATATGCAAAGGAGTCTTATTACAAGAGATACACTTGTAAAATATGAAAGCCCTAGTTCTACATGTAACTGTTCAAAAGTTAGACAAAACTACACAACCTTGAAATGTATGGCGTCACAGTTTCTGTCGAGATTATTATATGATGGTAAATATAATTTTGCTTAGCCATCCGATTTTCATCGATAATGGTTAAATTCCATGAGTATAGATCAACTCACACCAGTGTTTATTGTATTGACTGTACACATATAGTTTTAAATTATCACGGGTTTCATGAGCGCCGGATACTTAGCTATGCAGACTTTAAATGGGCATAAGGAAAGGCTTATAACCTGGAGAAAACAGAATCCTGTAATGCGTTTTATCCCAATATCTTACCTCGCATACTAGTATCAGAAACTGCATGGGCTATTCTGTAATAAACCTTCAACCAGAAGTCCCTGTCGAGACTGTAGCTCTACTGGTTTATACTTAAAACAAAGGAAGAGAACGGAAGCAGTTGGGACTTGAAACTTTAAAACAGCTGCAATAAAAAGAAAAATGATCCTTGCTGCTCGTCAAAATAAAAAAAGATGCACAGAATTATGTATCTTAGTATAGTCTACTTGTGTGCCAAGTTATATTGAAATCGGACCAAAACTGTAGGAGGAGTAGCATTTTAAAAGAAGTTCAGAAATTTCTATTTTTAGTAACCATGGCAACATCGTTCTTCGAAATCAAAAACCGATGCACAGAATTATGTATCTTAGTGTAGTCTACTTGTGTGATAAGTTATATTGAAATTGGACCAAAACTGTAGGAGGAGTAGCATTTTGAAAGAATTTCATGGAAATTTCTATTTTTAGTAACCATGGCAAAACCGTTCATCGAAACCAAAAACCGATGCACAGAATTATGTACCTTAGTGTAGTCTACTTGTGTGATAAGTTATATTGAAATCGGACCAAAACTGTAAGAAGAGTAGCAATTTGAAAAATTGTTTACAGACAGACAGACGGACGTACGGACGACGGACGCATTACTATCGCATAAGCTCTTCTGGTCTCTGACCAGTAGAGCTAAAAATGATAAAGTCTGATATCTTTTCGATAAGGTTTTTATGTCAGGCTCTAAAAACTGAAAATTTACCGTATTTATATCAAATTTTTAACGTAAGTTAAACTTTTAGGATTGCTACCTCCTATAGCTAGAGACAGATTTTTTTTATCCCACTAAAAACGTATTCTAAGCTTTCAAGTCGTGTTTGTTCATGGTAGAATTGTCATAATATTATATTATTCCCAAATGTGCATAAAGTTTACAAAAAGTTTGTTCTAAAAAAATCTTTTGATCAAAAAACTTAAATACCACGTGTTTTATTGTTTTTTCTCATGGGTTTGTCTAAATGCTGTTATCTGATTGGTCAGAAGGATTTGAGCCTTGTTTATTCCGTGTATTAATAACAATTCACAGTTATCGTTCTTGATTTCCTTATTTAGAAATCGGCCAGACCTGTTATCTGTCTTATTTTCAGTAACATAGGTCTAGCATCCTCTGAGTGTTGTACTGTACCCATTCAACACTGTGCCTTATGGTTTATATACATGTATTTTGAATATGTGTCTAATATAAATATACTTATACAAGTATTTATCAGATAAAACAAAGCGCAAGGCCTAATTCTCTCCTGTAATTTTCTTCAAATTTTTCCTGAATTTGTTTTAAAACATAGCTGGACAGATGATATAAATTATTTCTGAGTGTGCTTTGTCTTGTTTACCTCAAATTGTTCCATGGTTAGGCTGGTAAAAACTTCGTCAGTATGTTGACAGCAGTTGCACCTTCGCATCTGTTTATATGTTGCCATGTATGGGATACATGTGAAACGGTCCCGGTATTGTATTTCGAAAACTCTCGATAAAGAAAAATAATTTACAAAAGAAATTAAAATACATTCGATTTTATTGATCGACATTTACACCTAACGTTATTGGTTTCATTCCATTAAGAAGTGTATAATTTTACAACAGCAAAGCACGTGTTGCGTTGTGGAAACGATGGCGGTGAATTTTTAACGTAATGAAACGGTTTAGAGTTATGTCCCTTTTGTTACAATTGTAACGTGTTCTGGGTCCGATGATTTGGACCAGTATAAGGGATGTATAAAAATTATCAGATTTACAAAGAAAAATAATTACAAAGATTAATATGAAAACAACGAGTCAATATATACATATATTCTAGGGTTATCTATCCCTTTATTATAAAAGCAAATTAAAAACAAAGAACAATGATCGGGGTGTTTGACAGGGCTCTGTCCGGGGTATGTATCTCAGGGATCTGTCCCCAGCCGTGTAACTAAACGGATGTGTCCTGTAATGCTTTATAGGCTGCAGACAGGTACAAGATCCACCGCTCGTAAATAAACATATACAGTAAATCTCACTGTATATAGAGCAAAGAAAACAATACAACACTGTGCAGTTGTATTAATTAACAATGAAACGTCTTTTAATCACAATCACCGTACCTGCTACAATTCAAGCTTCTTCTTTGACAGCCAAACACAGAATGACAAACTACCTCGGATGCGCTCTTATATACACTTGAGCGACACCCGGACTAACCTCGGCCTTAACCATATGCCTAATGATAAAACCCGTTTGCAACTGAATCTCGAGCCCGATCGTCACACTACCCACGCCTCGATGCATCATGTGTCCCCACATGACAAATAAAATACAACTAAAACTTTTTTTTTCCATTTTTTTTTTATACAGATGTGTGACCAAACAAGAATGAGGTATGTATGATGAGTGATGAGTTTTTATCACCTGCCTGGTGATTATGTATCAATAAGCAAACATGAAAATTAGCAAACATGAAAATTGAACTTAATGTTCATAAATGTTCTCTGATGACTTCTCACCATTTACATATCAAAAATTTCTTCGCTTTCTCTGATGCGCTTGATTCTCTGTCCGTTCTCACTGTACTTAGTTACAGTCACCTCTTTCACCCGTCTCCGATATCCCTCTGTCTGAGTTCCCTGATCCACCAATTGGACTTTCCTTTCTTCTGGGTCAGGTAAAGTAAAAGTTGTCTGGACAGCTCTATCAACACCCTTCTTCTGTACCAATTCCTCCTCTGGAATGATAACTTTCCTGGTCGTTTGGACAGGACTTGGAGCTGTTCTCTTGCGGATAATTCGACCTGCGATTAAATCATCACTATTGGAAGAAGATGGTCCAGCCTCCGTTTCCTTCTCGATTTCGATCGCATCTTCCCCAAGCTGAACTTCTGGATCCACATCCCAGTCACTATCCTCATTGTCGGCTACATCCTTTGATGATTGGGAAGGTGCATCGGGATGTTTGGTCCGCATATGCTTCTGCAAGTACTCCTTTTTCTTGAAGGACACTTGGCATGTTCTACATACTAACATGCTACTGGCACAACTAACCACATGTTTTGTCCAAGCTTCTTTACTGTCCAATTCTACAAAACATACTGGGCATATCTCTTTTGCCTTTCTGGGTGTTAGCTTGGTGTTAACCATTTTTGTTCTGCAAAAATTAAAATATTTTGTTTAAGAAAAGCGCATATATAATTTTCTCAATATATATATCTACTACTCTGACATTAAACAACTACATGTACTATGCAGATACAACTACTATACAAAATATTGAATTTGAGGCTCATCAGTAAATCAAACATTTATATACATGATTGTCGGTGCTTGATAATGCAAATTATTCAGGAACATAGTCCTTCATCCATGCTGGAGCACGTCTATCTCGCTTTGGCTTAACGTTTTCAGCCAACTCATCTGTGACTTCTATCTTTGACTGATTGTCATCGATAACCTCAGTCTCAAACTGACCATCCGGCAGAAGTTCTGCACTGGCATCTGCATCAGGCTCATGACGAATCTGTTCGTCTTCACCTCTCAGGATCTGTGATTTGCAAGCTTTGAGGCGATCGCAATGCACAACTTGCTCTTTGCCGTTGCGACCACAATTAGCTTTATACAGAACCTCTGATATTCTAGCCAATATCTTGAATGGTCCTCTCCAGTAAGACGTGAATTTTGGTGAACATCCAGCTTTGCGTTGAGGGAAGTATATGTAAACTAGATCCCCTTCTTTGAATTTCTCATATGACATTTTCATGTCATAGTAATGTTTCTGTCTTAACATTGCACCTTCTGCATGACGTCTGACCAAAGAATGTGCTCTCTCTATCCTGTCTTTCAAGATCCATGCCCATTCATTCCTGGGAACTTCTTTCCAAGACGTTGGCATCTCATACATGATATCTAGAGGTGTCGTAACCTCTCTACCTAGCATGAGCATGTTAGGGCTGTAACCCGTGGATTCATGCTGAGATGACCTATACGCCATCATCACGTATGGAATGCTTTCATCCCAGTCTCTGTGGTTTTCATCCACATAGGCACTTAGCATAGTGGCTAACGTTTTGTTGAAACGTTCCACCATACCATCAGACTGCGGATGGTATGGTGTGGTTCGTGTCTTCCGGATCTGGAGAAGCCCACATACCTCGGTAAAAAGGACACTCTCGTACTGTCTTCCCTGGTCGGAATGTATGACATTGGGGCATCCAAATCTACAGATTACTTCGTTGGTGATGATCTTAG